GTAAGTTCATATTACATGCATTCACCAATCGACTTGACACTTTCATATTTAGTTAAACTTTATTTCGCCCCGACTAAACATGAGCGTTGATACCAACCATGACCGAATTCCACGACCCCCGAGGACATACGATATTGATCATATCCATAAATAAATATGTCATTTTATTAATTATATTTTATATTGTGAGGGTGTCTTTCCTTATCTTGTCCTTAACAATGCATTCAAGTTGAAAATATTGTCAGGCGATGAACTCTTCTGTCATAAATGAATTGTTATCGCCTTACATTGTACAATTAACGCAGCATAATTTCGTGGTGGAATACTATGGACACTCCATTGTTACAATCTATCTTACCCATATTTTATTGAGTAAAGATAGGGTAGTGTAAGATAAATTTAATGTAGCACTCGGATTTTGTGATAAATACGACATTCGCGAAAATTACGCTCTCATTAAGCACGATTAAAATACGGTGTCCAAAAATCCCGAAGGAAAGCATAGGCCGCACAAACGATCAAATTTCGTATTTCGAGGTTTTTATAATTAACACAACCTTCAATTTCCTACAGGGATACTAAATAAACTTTCAAAAGAATGCCCATTACTTCTGCCCAGCGTAATCCAGTTTATTCTTTATATTGTATAAAGTTGGCTTTTAGTTTTGGTCTGACAATTTCCACAATCGTAGAAACTGAAAATAACTAACTTGGTAATCTTTTGATCATGTTTTTGAATGACTTTTGGGCTAATCAAATTTACACAATCTTGTTATTGCTGATCGAGAATCGAGAGGTTTTTTATAATTCTCCATTAAATTCGAAAACTGTCCTAAAAGAAAAAAATGTTTCGTGGAAAAGTATGAGAAATAAACGAAAATTAGAAATAAAACAATTGAATCATTCATTGTAAGTGGACTATTACACAAAACAATCTATTTATTTTATTCCATGCGATGACCTCAAATCAAAAACAACAAAAAATACATCTATTAAGGTTATTATTTTCGAATTAATTTCTACCGTAATGTTTTTAAAATGGCCATTCAATGGAAAAAAATGGCTACAATACAGAAATAATAATTTAATGATAAATTTGTGAGGAAAGTTTAGCGTAACTTTTCCGGTTTTGCCTCACGGCATACTATTATTGATGGGGGCTAGTGTGGCTGGACGCGTAAGGCGCTAGATGAGTTCTTGGTTCAGAGGCGGTGTTGTCCAGCTTGTTGTCCTCTTGTCATTGGTAGAGGACGGAGAGACTGACACGGAAGAACGCTTAGTCGTTCGGATGAGAACCCATGTGCTTTTTTCATTATTCCCCAATCTTGAAACAGAGCACTCTACTACTCCTTAACACCAGGGTATGTTTCATGTAAAGACATTTATTTAAGTGGTATGTTAAAATTTCTTTGTCACGCGCCTTTCGAAGAAGGTGGGGGACTCTTTTGGGATTGCTGCGCGGGCGTGTGGGGTGCTCACTGTTGGCTTGTATTAGTCTATTTATGCCATATCAAAGATTTTAATGATGAACACGGAGATTCCACAACCTGTTTAATGACCCAACCTTAAAACTAAGTACCTCATTTCTTTGATTGTATCAACAACCTTAAAAGTTACAAATCTTCTAGTCTAGGAACTTTTAAAAAGGTCTTTTTGTGTGCTTTTGTGTTGGCGCGTATGGTCGGTGGACGCTATATTACCATATGCATCTTTCGTTAATTAAAACCATTATAATTGTAATAATTAAACCCTACTATCAGTTATTAGATAAAAGAAGAAAGGCGGTATTAATCAACTATTGTTACCATTGAAGGGTTATTTGTAGCAATCCAATGATTATCGATAGATATAAGGATTTTGAGAACCTAAAAGCATCTGGCAAATGTTGCCGGAACTTGAATCATCCATTATACATAATCTGATGCAAACGACCCCCTTGTTTTTGATATCCACAGAAGACAACGAAATTCCATTATACAAATACAAAAGTAAATGTGAATGGCAGAGAGAGTATGTATATCCTGTTTCGTGCATAATGTGATAGCTAAGCCAGCGGTGTAACACATGAATTACCCCAACAAAATATATTCACCAAACAGAGGCGGTGTAATACATGCATCACCCCAACAAAAAATATTCATTAAAACAGAGGCGGTGTAACACATGAACCACTCAAACGAAATATACACAGATGCGTTGTAACACATGAACTACTCAAACATAATCATATTCATTAAACATTGTGTACTATATAATTTCAACCTACACTTTATTTTAAATCCTGTGATTTAAACATCTTCCTCTACAAAGGGTTATACCACATGGCCATGTGTCCATTTTATTGAGTAAACACCGAAAGCGGTACGTCTTTCACTCTCTATTACATAACTATATATTATATTTAAATAAACGTAAAAGCAGCGACCGGCATATGTACAATATTCGAGACATATGCGGTAAACATAAATTAATGAATGTTTCATAATTTGCAATTGTGAATTCAAATTGATCACGTGGACATTTTTGAGTTTATCACATTTGTGGACATTTGTTAAAGGTGAGGGGAGCAGGGAGCTCATGCGGCGGGGTGATTTGTCGGTTTGATATTATATTCTTTTCTCGAGCATATGTATAGATTTAACAAGAGCAATTGATCTGTTTTATCAGATGCACATACGGAAATAAAACTATAGTAATTACGTAAGATCGATATGGCAGTAGTTTTAAGTCTTGAAAGGTTTGTAAAATTCAGTCGAGATTTCAAATTTGCTACTCTCTGACGCAATATTGTTGTGGTAAGTGAATCTGTTACCTTGCATATAAGTATTATTCTGTGCACCTAATCTTGCTTTAAGTTGATCTACTAATTAACACTGATGGGGTTCTCGTAGACTGCACTTGTTTAATCAAAATATCCCGAGAAAGTTCATCGGGATTTTCCCGACGTGGTTTCCCCTTGTCAGTGGTGCAGAACGGAGGGCCTGACAAGGACAGCTGTCTAGTCCTTCGGATGAGACGAAAAACCGAGGTCCCGTGTATATATGCACGTAAAAGATCCCCTGGCAGTTGGAATTCGATATAAGAGTAGGCGATAGTGCCGCTGTCCGGGCAAAATTTCCCTCATAGCACACTGTATGGCGTATGCCCGTCTTCATTAGCCCAGTATAGGAGCAGAACAGTAGGACGTTAAACCCCATTTCATTTCATTTCATTTCATTTCATTTCATTTCATTTCATTTCAAAATATCCATATGTTTATTGAATTTTATTTCGATTTTACAAAGACTTATTTTATCAAACCAGTGTAGTGGATACATTGTATGCCCTTAAATATTGCATACTTTGGGAAAGTATTGCATGTTTTCGCATGTAGGAACAGTGCAGTCCTCTCGCTTGGAAAAGGGTATCAAGCTAGTAAAAAATGATGTATACTCATTATCTATCACTAAAACAGTGATAGATACTTTAGATAGGAAGAATTCGAATTAAGACAGGTATCCAAATTCCCTTTCCCGAATTTAAGCATGTAACACTATGCCCTTCCACAGATATGTGTGACATGGAACCCACGAAAGATAATAGGCCTTATCACCCACAGCGCTTATATTAGACCATTCGGCCATCCAGCCAGAAATTTAGGTAAGTTGATGATCCAAACAATAGAAAACGACCTCACCTACTGTCTTATATCGTATGTTAAAGTTTCATACTACATACCACGATTATTGATTTTGAAGAAAACAAAAGAATGTTCATTGTTGATAAATTACATCACTTTCAATAAAGGGTGGTTAGGCTCATAATGATAAATGAAACCAGGTTCATTTAGTTTGCAACAACAGAACTTCAAAACTTGGTAAAATAGATAACTGGAGTTTAAATCCCGTTCGGCACAAACTAGGTCATTGCGGGACTAAAATTGTGGGAGAAATTGATTTCTAGAAACATATGTAACAACGTGTGGGTAAAATAGCAAACACATGTGTGTGTGTGTGTTGGGGGGGGGGGGGGGTTGCTGCACAATGACCGTTAAGGATGTATGTATTACATTTTTGTTTTGGTTTCTTTGAAACGTCAATGCCATGAACAATACTGGAGGTTATCTTTGAAATGAAATGTACAGTGCCTTGTTCTTTAAAGAATAAATAAGATATTGAATTGAGTTGATCTACCGTGTTTTTAATACTGGTTAAGTTTTCGTTTCGAAAGATAAGCAGAAGACGACTTGTTTACTAATTTTAGTTTCAATTTTGACTTACTTTATGAACTCAGGACCAAGAAGTTGATTGTATTACAGAATTGGCTTTATATATAGATCGGTGCATTGAACTAAGTCAGATTGTCATCCCACAAAACAAATCAACCCATAAACTCAAATGAAATAGAAATTTTATTAGTAAACCTGGCTGAAAAATTGTTTTTATGGTCGGAAAGCCGGATATTCTAGCTGATTTAGAGGTCTGGGTATTTTAAAGTAGCACACTTTTTAACTTGCCCGGTTGGATACATTTGCTATTTTTTTAGCCAGTTGTCCCTTTGAAAACATTCCATAGTATTATTATTATTATTATTGATTTATCAACTTTTGCTCACTCACTATTATTAGAGGATAAACAACTGAGATTAAAGGACTAATATGATACAACTTTACAACAAATATATGTAAACTGTTGAAAAGCGCATCGCATTAGGTGTTCTCGAAAGCGTAAGTATCGGATGATATCAAAATTTCGGAACACTAAAGCTTTGTTTATGGGTAGACAATCGAGCAATATCGATTCTATCCAATAGAGAGATATATTTTGTAAAGAAATTGGAAAGGAAGGTGGTAATCATAGATATGAGTTTGGATATATTCCATATAGCGAGTTATCTTATTTGAAATTAATATATTATTCGACATGCTTAAATCATCATCATCATCATCATCATCGTCATGTCGTCGTCATATCCACGACCTATGTTATAGCTAATATTATCTAACGTTTGAAACATTACAGGTGAAGGTTTTTAAGTGTATATTGAGGGGAAGGGGGATTCAGTTACAAGAAGAATTAAGAAGATATTCAAGGTTAAAATTCAAAATGGCAGGCAATTCCGGTCAAATAAATGGATCAGCTGACATATTACAAAAGGTATGGAGCACATTAAAACTACTGTAGAATTATGAGTTTCCAATGTTAGTGAGATGACGTTCTTAGTCATAATTATTTGTTATCGCAAACAGGAACAACATCTAGTCCTTCTCGTTGGCGTGCACTTAAAGGAACCCTTGACAGTTGGAATTAGATGAAGAGTACACGGGTAAACCTTGGTTTTTCGAACCATCCCACCGACTAGGTACTTTCATTGTCAGTTTCGCTAACATGTAAAGGACGGGATTGGAACCCGTGCCAAGACCGCTCGATCGACTATCACGCGCCCTGATCATTCTTACGAAAAATACAATATAATTTTATCACAACCGAAGTTATAAAATTTAATGCATCAGATTCTAGTCTGGTGTCTATGTTTGTTATTGATTTTAATGATTTAACTTATCTACTATGTAGGGGGGTTGGATGGCTGAATGGTTAACGTGCGCGCGCTGTATCATAAAGTCTGTCATTGAGTCGACTGGTGTGGTATCGAATCTCCGGTTGTACGTGACAAGGAGTAGGGTCGCCTGTCCAACCTCGTGGGTTTTCTCCGGGTCCTCCGGTTTCCTCCCACTGCTAAAGACCCCTACGCGCAAGCGAATTATTGAAATAAAATTAAACCATATGTTAGTCCCGAAATGACCTAGTTTGTGTCGAGTGGACGTTAAACCCCATTTCTCTCTCTCGTATCTACTATGTAGCTATTTCACGAGACATTCCAACCAGTCGCATAATCCCCCACGGAATACAATCAAATATAATGTATGAATATAGGCGTTTTTAATAATAAATACGAACATAAAGACAATATTCAATCAACTGTACAAAAAACATTATTGTTCTAAACGTATTCAAATATAGCACAATAAAGGTACAACAAATGTATGTTCGCTAGGAAGCGTATGCATAACTTCCCTCGTACACGAGATCTTTCTGTCGCTTTAGCAAGTCTACATTGATTTATATCTGCTAACACATGAGTATTGAGCTGCTTGCTCACTAACCAGGAGGTCCAGGGTTTGATCCCGCTGTTGGCCGAGAACATTTCCAAAGATTTTCAGCTGTTTACCTTTGTCAGTTGTAAAGAATGGGGGGGGGGGGCTGGCAAGGAACTGTTATATCTGTCGGATAGGACGAAAAACGTGTAGGCCGTAGCCCCGCTGTCCAGTCAAAATTCCATCATAAACTCCATTTAATTTCTTCTATAACAGACAACGAGGATCAAATAAACAATCGAATACAAAAACACGAGACAGATGTTGTGTTCGGTTTATCAGGTAAATCAAATCACTTTACAAATCAGATTTTCTGTAACAATTACAAAAAGGGTTTGAAATTAGAAACTGTAAATTGTAACATAATTAGGTCTCTCGTAATTGCCGTAAACAGAAAACGATTCGAACGCAGCAATAGTTAAATGTTGGTGGTTATAATATCAGCATGGTTGGAGACACAGTTTAGATGGTTTTGAAATCCCACTTTTTGTAAGCTTAGATTACACGTAGGAGTGTATAATATTGTCATCACCACTGCCTCTCCATCCCCGATTATCAAAAACGCTTTACACGTCAGAGCTTTGGGGATTTGTTTTCTAAACTTGCTGGGTTTGTTTAAATGGGATCATTAAATTGTTGAAATTGAGATTTTGGGTAGATGTATTGCCACGGACACGGTATCCCCTTAAACTCTCTACAGAGTTTTCGGTCCTACTAATCACCCACATAAGTGAAACTGAGAATAGAAAACATATTGTGGGTTCTTGTCAGTGATTAGTAATAGTAAGACCGTCTTTTGTTTTTGTTTTGTTCGTAATGTCTTTAAAATTTTTTTATGAAATCATTTAAAATATTGGATATGATGTGTAGGATATTCATCTATAATACATCTTTCCTTGTCCGTCACATTTTACAATGCGCTACTGACAAAAAACGCTATTGTCGGCGATTAGTAAGACCATTTAAATTTTGAATATGTGTAGAATAAGCATATCTATAAGATATATTTCCTTGTCGGTCACTTTTTGCAATACCTTGGGTGAAAATATGAAAGTCACCAACGTAAATATGAAAGCCACTTTCAAAAATGTGAAAACTGCCTTCGAAAGTGTTAAAGTCACCTTCCAAAATGTGAAAGCCAACTTTCAAAATGATCACAACGGCGCATATTGTCCTATATTCAACCCTAAAAATCTCTTAATATTTGATGTTTGATGGGTGTGCTGAAAAAATCCGTATTGCACACGAGGACATAAATATGTATTGTAGGTTATCTTTTAATAAAATCAGCACACCTTCTATTGATTGTTTCCAGATGATTAGATCCAACTCTATCAATCACGTTGTTTTTCTTCACTTTCAACAAATCAATCTACTTTTATTTTCACATCTCCAATTTCTAACAACTAATGAAAAAATAAATCACAAATCATGTGACCTGTAGTAACCCGCGAAGCATGTCACTAATATTCCCGCCAAATATCTCAACGTCTGTCATTAATATCAGCAGCCGAGAGTGTGGAATATCAGCTCGTTTCCCACCAAGATTCGCTGGTTTGTGAAAAACAAATTAAGTAATTTAAACTGACTGTTGGAACTGTGTCTGGCTTTGTCTTTAAATATTGATTCATGTTCTTCTTTCTCGCCTTTGTTCATTCTACGAAGACGTTCATTTCCTTCAATTTCTTGTGGTAATTTAAATAGCGAGGCGGGCAAAATTTAGTTTACTGTTGTTTTTATCCGATTGTTGCAATTGTTATCAATATGGAATTGAATTTAAGCTTGTTTTGCGTCAACTGTGAATTAGTTTATATACTTTTTACAAATAGGATTGACTGCATATAAATTCACACCATGAAATGTGATTTTTGAAATGTAAAATTTAAATGCAATTGAAGATTTTTTAGTGAATAAATAACTCTGCAAGCTTTACGATCAAATAAACAAATCAAATAATATGAGATTGGTAATGAATAATCTAAATGTTTACGTTATTTAAATGCATTAAATTTACATTCCAAAGTAGACAATAAGCTGGTGATTTAGAATTAATATTAAAGTTTTCGAATTTTTGCCTGTAAACATTTGTTTTGAATCGTACAGTCAGCTAGTTTCCATTTTGTATTAAATTATGTAAATACGACGATTTATTTAATAGTGATAAAATATTTATGAATCTAGCAAGTTTTCCAGTACAATATTGTCTTACGACCATTAGGCATTTTCAGGACGATTAAGCCGGTGTGATGTTAGCTGTTTAGATTCCTATAACGGGATGACAATTTTTGATCCGTCGCAAACAAAGACTGAAGTGCATGCACGTCACCTGTAGGAATTATGGCTAGAACGCCCTATATCCCTTCTTGTTTGAAGGGTTCACATTGCTTACATGTGCAAACTTTGTAATATTGTTGTATTTCTCTATAGAGTTGTAAGCGCCACTCCGATAGTTACTTTAATCCTACACGCTACGTTTCAAGCAGTGTTTGGTGTACATGCACCCCCGTCCAAATGGACTATCGGAATTTTTATATTTTACAATGTAAGAATTGGCTCAATATTTGATTGATATCGCGTGTGTCGTCTTAGATCTTAGAACAAATCGGGAAATTGTTCAAACAACATTGATTACTAATAAAGATAGAACATTAGATATTAACAGATTTTACCATTATCAGTTTGGAGAAATAAAATATTATTTTCTGGTGAGGATTCTTGAATCCAGATTATGTACATTGGTTATTAAATAATATACCTCTCTATAAGTAGAAATCAGTCGAGTTCACCACTTTTAGTAAGTTGTGACGGAAGCAAGATACAGATATACTTTTCTGTAGACTGAATTACTTTTTCTTTACACTTTAGTTTGCTCAATACTGAGAGACTTACTTTTTCTATAGACTGACTTGGTCTACAGGATGACTTACTTTTTCTACAGACTTACTTTTTTCTATCAACTTAAGTTCTCTCGAACAAATGAAAACATATCTCGTGTGTTTGGAAGTGACCGGAGTAGTATTAATGAACATTAGTATTTGGGCTTGATGGATCAAAAAGTATTGATTAACAATAAAGATGTAGCCAAGTCAGATAACGACAGATATTATCTTTTGTAACGAATGTAATAACTTTATTTTGATGTTATGATCTCAAGGGGGTGTTTGAGTTTGAGCTCTTCGGTGGCTATTTACTTTCTTCAGTGGGTGGGTGTGCCGCTACTTACATAACAATTGTACGAAGAAAAAAATAAGGTCGCTGGTCCTACCGTACTAGATTTATATGGGTTCTCTGCTCCTTTCTTTCTGCCAAGTAATATTTGGCGCTTAAACAAAATTATAAAATATAGATTTATTAAGTATGTGTTACGTTTCTAAATTGCCAAATGTTATCTATACCAGTTGCTACAATGTCATATGTATGTAGTGGACATGGTCGTAACTGAGAAAAATGAAAATAAAACCAACACACTGTATAAGTTGTGTGATTGCGATTGGCTTACTCTTCATTGTAATAAACAATATTCTCGTTAAAATGGGTGCACGAATCTATTACTGGTTGTTGAATGATATCCCCCAAAACGATGCCCAGATATCATGCATATGAACGCGGTTTTATAGTCTTGGCTTTTCCTGTTACCATGTAAGGTTATTGAGTCTTCTCTTGTTGCCAGCACCTATTGTTCTAAATGACCCATGATATGCCCTACAACACTATCCTTAGTGTTGTCAGTTTCCAGGAATCAGACAACAGTGTTCGGGATATAAATTAAATATCACATGTTTGCTGGTGCTTTCGTTGCCCATTCAGAAGACGATATTCATTTTTTTTTGGCCATTGGTCCGAAAAGTCACTGAATAACTCTTCCATATTGCCCGTCTTTAGTGAAACAGACAATCATTTAACTGATAAAAGCTAAATTATGGTAGCATTCTGAGCAGCCACACAAACTTTGGAATTCTGCTTTAGGATGTTGACCAGTTCCCGACAAGGCAGTATAGCATG